TGCTGATCGTTGCCCCCTCGTTGCCGCTTCGTCTAGCGAATATTCGCCACGCTGCCGCCCGTTACCGCTTCGCCGCCGCCTCTAGCTTGCCGCCGCCACCACGCATACTGCACCACACAGCTTACAGCAAATAGCTTGCACCACGCATAGCTTACACATCCGCAGTGCAACAACTTACTGTTTGGGGGCCACGCTGGATCGCAAATACTGTCTTGTTGTTGTTGCTGTTGTTACCCTGTACGTTTTACTCTCCACTCTTGACTGTCTACTCTCCACTATGCGCCCTGAGTGTCTCCGTTCGATGTATGTCGCCCACCTTGTACAATCATCCCTGTTCTGTCTACCCTCTGCCCTGGACCCTCTACTCCCTACAATATGCGGCCGCCTCCCTACTTTATGACCGGTGCTCTAACTGTGCCCGGCTTTCTGCGTTCTGCTCTTTGCGCCCTGATCCATGATCTTGACTCTCCACTCTCTCACCTGTACCATGAACAACATACAGTCTGTGCTGTGCTAAATACCCTCTCTGCTCTGCTCTTCTCTGCTCACTCATTCGACGCACTCGCTCCATACGCTATCTCTTTATACTTGTTTCTTCTCTCTCTTTCTTCCTCTCGCCCACTTTGAAGCTGGAACCCTGGCCGCCAGCTGGAATCTGCGGGCAAATTGCGCGAAGACCCCAAAGGAGGAAATCAAACAACCTGGCCGCCCATCGGATTCGGCAGCACACTTTCGCAAAAACGTTACAATGCCTGGATCCTAAAACTCGGCGCCAAAACTCCATACATCTGACGCCCGACCGCCCCCCGAAATCGGTCGCCCACTTGTGCCAAGTCCTCGCATTATCCGCAGGGGCCCCCTTAGCGCAAGCACCGACTGGGGAACAAAACAAAGGGGACACCATTCTCGAGTCTCGCCCCTCGAACTTCGACCCTGCAGCGGCGACCATAACGGGGGTGAAGACAGCGCAAAGCTAAATGCGGGAGGGCCCGCGCGGATTTCACGAATCTGCGCTGCCCCTGCCCCCCTGCCCGTCGCGCGGGGCGCGCGAGGAGGGGCGCCAAGAGGGCCTGGCGCCTGGCGCCGGGCCGGGAAATCCACGCGGACCTCCGAGAACGCAACGCCTCCAGAAGTTTCAGAAGCTTGGGCGCAGCCCCTTTTGCTCTGGCCGAGCGCAGCAGCAGGTACCCGGCCGAATCCCAGGCGCAGGCCGCCCGTCGCGGCGACAACTGGAGCCCCAGACTTGGCTCCAGACAGCAGCAGAGCGAGAAGGATGGGAGTGGGGCGCGCCATCTACGCTCGGCCCCTGGTACCTCCGCGCGCCATGAGAAGCACGCGCCGAGAACCAATCCTGCACTCACTTGATATCTTGCATCTCCCTCGCTCTCGCGAGCTTTGCCTTATGCTTATCCTCCGTCTTGGTGGCGTCTATGGCAACCTTCCTCGGGGCTTGTGGACCGCTTTTCTTCATGTTCGGTTCAGCTGCCGCCAGGCCTTGCGCCGAGGGCCATTCCGCCTCGCGGAGCACCTTGAACGAGCGGGCCATGTCGGCGCACGGCTTCGCCAGCACAGCCACCGTAAGTGGGTCTAGCCACGCCGCGGCGCTCCTCGTAGCAACGCACCTTCTATCGACATCCGTTTGCCTTGGCTTTTGGCCCAGCCCTCCTTGGCGAGGTGGCCAAAAAAACGTCGGTGCTTCGCCGCCTGCTTCTGCCAACTGGGCTGGGAAAGTCCACTGCGACGCTCATAGCTTCGCGCAGCGGCATCATCGCCCAGTCCACTGCTTCTACTGCGTTCCCCAGGTGACTGGCCTCCGCCGCAAGCGTGCACCGATGCGCCAACTGCGTCGTGCCACTCTTCAATTCAAGCATCGCTAAAGGGGCAGGATGAGCTTGCAGGAAAATCCCCGTACTTCGTAGCACCACGTTTCCTCCGCAGCTCTTGCAGCGCTCGACGTCGTCGTGCTCCTGGGGGGCCATTCGCGCGGCCCGAGTGCACGGCGGCCCTCGTGGCGGCCGCAGCTGGCCTCAGGCCCGTAGGGTGCACCGGCGAAGCGTCGACGCCCGTCTGAGCCTCGGCCGCGGCTGGGCTCGCCTTGATCAAGTCTGCCACACATGGGGCCGCTCGGGCTCGCCGCAACTCGCCGGACAGGAACGCCTCGCCAGCCCGCCGATCTCGCCGACGCACGCAGCATATCCTCCGCCGCCGCAAGAAGGATCTTGATCGGCCTCACGGACGTCGCGTAGTTCGCCAGCACGACGAAGCCGCGTCGGCCCCTCGAGATCTCCCAACATCGGAACGCGAAAAGCAACTCGCCCTAATTTCATTGGAAGCGCGCGTGGTATTCTGCGGGATGTCCTTCAGATTCGCGTCGGCAGCCCGGGGTGCGAACACCTGGTCGGCGCGGGGGCCCTTCAGCTGCCCGTCGGCCCGGCGGTAGGACAGGGCTAGCTCGAGACGCGGCTGAACCCGGCCATCCCCCAGCAAGCTGCACCGCAAGGCAAGCCAAAACAGGCGCGCCGCCTCCGCGAAGTCGTAAATCGCCTTCTTGGCCTGCAGGAGCTATCCAGGTCAGGACATAATCCAGGCGGTCCACCGAGTGGCTGCCCCCGGTGGGCCCCGCGCTGCAAGTCCTTCCCGTCGAAGTAAACTTTCTCCACGTCGCCCAGGTGGATGTCCAGATTCATCTTTGCCCCCGCCATGCTCGCAGGGGCGCCTCGGCCCGGCGCGAAACCGTCGGGCATGCGATCCCTGAAACCTACCGCCAAACGGCGGCCCTTCGCCGACGGGGAAAGGGCGTGCCAAGTCGTCAAAATTGCCGCCCTGCTCTTGTCGATGCCGACCCTGCGCGTCGGGAAATCACCAAGCCCTTGACTTCCTTGCTATTCGGACTCTCCTCGACCTGGCCACTCATCATCTCGACTGCCGCGACGGCCGACGAACATGCCTAGCAACAACTTGGGCGCGCAGGGCAGTTAAACTTCCTTCTGGCCTGGCTCCATGGCCAAGAACGCGTTCTCGAAGCTGCCCCGCTCGAGGCCGAACATGAACTCCATCTCGGCGACGCCCGCCCACGAGGATGGCCTGGTCTGGCGGCCCATCTCGATGAATTGCTCAGCGTCGTTGTCCAGCAGGTACGCGTCGGCGTCCGTCGGCGCCGAGCTGCAAAGGGACAAGCGGCGCCGCCTGGACGAGATCGGGAAGTCGTCCAGCGGCAGTCTACGTTTGGAATTTCCTCTCGCGCCGTTCCTCAAATACTGCCTCCTCTAGGTGGGCACCCAACCGCCGGCGCCTCGAGGCCCCCGCCGCGGGCTCGGCGCGTGCGCCAAGAGCTTCCGGTTGACGGCCGCCCTGGTCGTTGACGCCCATCGCGGGGCCTGCGCGTCCTCGGCCAGCGCCGCTGGCGCCGGGCCAGGTCAGGCACGAGCTCGGCAGTGGCCTGAGCCCCGGTTGGCGGGTCGCCCGCCAGTGGCGCCTCAGGCAGCGGCGCTATCGGGGCCCGAGATCCATGCCGCTCTCATTGCCGTGCTCTGCTGTCTCCTGAGCTGCGGCCGCTGGAGGCTTCGGTCGGCCTCGGAGGCCCACGAAGCCGCTGCCGCCAGTCACTGGGTCGTCGTGCACCAGCTCCTTCCCCTGCGAAATTAACCTCCATGCGTGAATCTCGCGTCGGGTCGCCGCCGCGAGATGCTCGGGGCTCGCGAGCGACGCCAGTCCACGAAACGCCAGCCGCACTCCGCGTCGATCTTCGCGTCCAATGACTCGAGCCAGTCCGCGCCAGTTGTCAGGGTGCCCCGGCCGATGCTTCACTGGCTGGGCTGGGCCGCAGAACAATGCCCACTGGCCTGCAGAGAACGGTCCTCGAGTGCGTCTGATCTGCCGTAGTTTAGCTCGTCGTGGCCGATGCTCCATGTCCGTCTGGGTGACGGCCAGCCTGCGCTGCGTCCCGATGTCGACCTTGCGCGCGACCCGAAGAGTCCAGCGCGGCAGCTGACGCCAACTCGCTGAAGCGCGCGACCTCGCCGTCGTCGCCGGGGCCTGCTGGGGGGCGGGCGTCTCGCCCCGGGGCCCGGGTAGGGGCTGAAGCGGGGCCCTCCGCGCCAGCGCGCTCTTGGCCCGATCGAACTCGGCGACGGCTGCGCGCGTCTCGCCAAGGCCGGCAACCTGCTTGCAGTGAACGACTCTCGCCAACATCGAGTTCCATTGTCCGTCGCGTCGGTCAATCATGCCGTCGTGCCAACGCAGCGCCAAAACCGCCGAGTCAAACCGCGCCCCCTGCATATTTAGGTAGTCCGCGAACTCGCCGAGGAAGCGCCAGGATCGGCCCGCCAGGATCGCCTCGTCTGGCTCACCAGTCCAGGCCACCCAGCACAGCTCGTCGGACTTCCTCGCATCCGACGCATTCGGTATCTCGTGAGTCTCCTCTAGCAGGCGCGCGACGCTGAAGCTCGCGCTCGCGCGCGCGACGCCCATCGCTGCGCTGGTTCCCGAAGCATCCCGCCGGGAGTAGCACGTTGACCAATCGACTCTTGGCAGCTGGCTCGGCCTCGGGATGCCGCCTCTGGGCTCGCCTGCAAGTCTCGCACTTGAACGAGCGCCCCGCCCCCGGAGCGACGGCGGCGGCCCTCTCGCCGCCTGAGTCGCCTTCAGGCTCGCGCTCACGAGCTCCCGGCAAGCACCCGCAACGTTGCTGGGCCGGCCCGCCCGCTGACTGATCGGCCCCCCTGAGTCCTTGTTGCGGGCCCCGCAGGCGCGCCGATCCCAGCGCGCACAGACCGCGACTTCCAGACCGCGAAGGTTGGAGAGGATCTCGTTCTAGATCCACAACTTGGCCGTCAAAGGCTGCTCCGCGGACCGCGGCGCCCGCGGTCGCGCGCTCGCGCTAAGCCGCGCGGTAGACGCGCGAGAGACAACGTCTCGCGCGTCTCCGTTCCGACTCCTTGCCCGCGCTCGCCGCGACAGACCGTGGCGCGCGCGGGGGCGCCAAGACCGCGACGCACGGCCTTCGCTGGTCCAAAATGGCACGCTGCAGGACTCTGCCCCCGGTCGCCAATAGGTCGCATACTGGCGAGTCCTTCGCGCCTGGGAGCCGCGAGTCGAGCCGGCCGAGCTCCTCGGCCCCGCGGCGACTCGAGGCGCGCTCGCTATCGAAGGGCTCAGAAATCACCGAAGTTTAGAAATTGGCCGTCACGAGCCCCTTTGCCGCGAACCTCGGGCGCTAGATCAGCCCGCTCGTGCCGATCTTCATTCCGCATCGCAGTCTGGTATATCTCCAACTTCTCGCGCGCCCCTGCAGGGGGGGGCGCCGGCTCCGTCGCCTGGGGGCGCGCCCCAGTCGCCAGCCAATAATAAGCATGAGAAAGAGTGGCGCGCCGCTGCCCTCCATCTCCTCGCTGCGCGCGCCGCCTCGTCGGCCTCCTATGCCAGCTGGGGCGTTCAGAACTCGACCGCGTCGCGGACCTCTGAAGGCCGAAGAAAAGCTTCTCCGCTGCTCTGTATACTCAGCCCTCATGCCTCTGGGAATCAAGCAGAGCGCCTTGGAAATACAGGATCAGCAAGACCCACGAGTAGATCTAGATGTCGCTGACTTCGCTCACCGCAAGCACTTCGCTGACCATAAGCACCACACGTGGCAATATTCCGACAAGAACTGGGCCCCACTGGCGCGCTCGCAAAGCCCGGGGGGCCTGGTAAATGTCTGGTAGATGTGAATGCTCAGGCTGGCGATGGCGGCGGCCCTGCCTCGCGCATCATCTCCCAACCGTCGTCGTAGCGCCAGCGCGGGAAACGGCTGCGCCCGAAGAACCAGCCACGGCCGCGAGCGTTCTGCCTCGGTGCCATCTACTCCTCACACTTTGGGCATATTACGACTCGTTCGTCTTTCTTCTTCTCCTCAGTCGGTGGCGCTGCCGCGCTGGCGCCGTCGCCTGGATCGACGTCGCCCTCGACACCGCCGGCGAGCTCGAGAAACCGATGTCCGAAATCACCTCGCCTGTGTAGAAGCCCGATGCCGCGCTGCTGTAGTCGCCGTCGTCCAGGACGAGGAGCGCGGCGCACTTTATTTTCTTGCTGCTTCCCTGTGATCCGGTCGATGCAGAACTCCAGGCTGGCCTCGTCGACGCTTCCGCTCGACGCGTCGGAGCCGTCGCACGCTTCGCCTACGCCTGCTTCGCCTTGGGTCCGAGAGGGCGCTCTGGATCACCAGCCCAGATGCCGACCTGGCCGCACATGCCGCGCGCCCTCCGCTGATTTTCCTGTCATCGCCGCGTTCCGCCCCTTGAGCGGCAAGGCCCGATCTGCCTTGAAGAACCCGCGCGTCCGCTGCAACTCCCGCGCCTTGGACCCTGGGGTGGTGTCGTGGGCGGCGAACGCGTCGTTGATGGCCTTGTCTTCGCTGGCGCCGATGTCGTTTTTTCCTTTGTCCCTGGTTTAACCGCTCTTGCCGCCGCGTTTGGCGTCCGGCCTGTGAGAGGGTGGCTTCGCTCGCTGTCCCGGGAAGCGCAGGTCGTGGTAGTTCGTTCTCAAGGTTCTCTGAAAGCTGTCGGCCTGGTATTTGTTTTCCGCCACCATCGTCACCAGAAGATTTTGGTCGTCGCTGAACGAAGCCCCACCCTCGAGGATGATGTAGGCGTAGAGGTCGTTGCTCAACTGCGTATCCCGATCGTGGGTTCCTTGTACTTGTCGTAAAAGGTGCGCATGTTCTCCACCATGCCCTGGCCACGGCGGCGGCGCGACCGCATGAAGAGATCGTCGAACAGATGCTGGTTGCGAACCAATGCGACCTTGTTCCGACATTGTCCCGACCTTGTGGCCGCCGTCCTTGGTGAGTAATCCCGTCTTGTCCAGCAGCGTCTCGACCGCCTTCTAAGCACTTCCCAAAGGTACCCGGGGTCAGCCGCAAGTCGAGGCTGCTGCGCTTCTCTTTGCCGACGTCGGATGTCGCCGACTAAACGTTCCACTCGACATACACCCGCAGGCGGTGCTCTCTGAGCAAGGCAACGTTCTCTCCATCCCAATGTGAACTCCCCTCCTTATCCACGAAGAGCTCCTCGCGACTCTCTGGGATGGTCGCCATCCTCGTCCGCGAACCTCTGGTAGTCTCAGAAACTTGGGCGCAACCACTTGGCGGCGAGCGCGGGGGGGAAATGAGAAGGGGCGGGCCTTCTCAGACGGCTCGGAAGTCCCCAGGCCTTCTGAGAAGCTTTCTAAGCTTTCCCCGAAGACAGAGACAACTTCTCAGAAGGCGCGAGGGCTTCTGAGAAGTCCCACCGCCTTCTGAGAAGGCCTTCTCCTTCTCACTTCCCCCTCTCGCTCGCCGCCGAACCACGACGACGACGACGCACGACGACGCACGACGCACGACGACGACGACGAAGACGACGACGAACCCGAGCCGAGCGCAGCTCTCCTGCCGAATCTCCCGGGCGCAGGCCGCCCGCCGCGGTCCAGCCTCGGGCCCCCGAGCCTGGGCTTGTGTCGGGCGTGTCGCCCTCCAGGGGAATTTTCGACGAAAGATAAGACAAATACCCCAAACATGCCCCCACAAAAGGTCAAAGGAATGTTCTCTTTTGTGGAAGGTCTCCTTTGGACTGGCCTCCGGTGTAACAGTGAAGATTTCAGGAGCGGGGCGTAGACAGCAAGCCTCGCTCCCCTCCTTCTCGCCTTGCTGCTGTCTGGGCCCAGGCTTAAGTCGGGCCCGTCCCCCTGCAGGGGGATTCTCGACGAAAAATCAAAAATACCGCAACCATACCCCCAACAAGGTAATGAAATACTGAAAAATAAATCCCCAGACTATCTGTGGATCTTTTTTGACTATCTTTGGGGTATTTTTGATTTTTCGTCGAAAATCCCCCTGCAGGGGGACAGGCCCGACTTAAGCCTGGGCCCAGACAGCAGCAAGGCGAGAAGGAGGGGAGCGAGGCTTGCTGTCTACGCTCCGCTCCTGAAATCTTCACAGTTACACTGGAGGCCAGTCCAAAGGAGACCTTCCACAAAAAAACATTCCTGAGACCCCTGGGCGTCCCTTGTATTTGTCTGGGCGCATCACGCCTTCCCTAACAAAACCGTCGAAACAAGATTCCAGGACACCCTGGAGGCAAGCAGGGTGCTTCTTGGCTCTTGGCACGGGCCTGCACTGTATGAACATTGTTTTTCCCAACCGTCCTGTGGTGTTGGGTCTTTGTTTTGAAGAGACGGTCCCCGCGTTCACTCCTCCTCCCGCTGCCTCCACCCTCCTCCCCGCACCACCCCTCACCTTGGCACACCCCTCACACGTTTCGCGGCCCCATAGTGAGTCCCACCGAAGGCCCAAATGCCAGCGTTCGCATGCGACCACCGCACCCATGTTGGCACACCCCTCACACGCTTCGTGGCCCCATAGGGAGCCCCACCGAAGGCCCACATGCCAGCGTTCGCATGCGCCCACCGCGCCCATTTTGGCACCCCTCACACGCTTCGTGGCCCCAAAGGACGACCCACCGAAGGCCCACATGCCAGCGTTCGCAGGCGCCCACCGCGCCCATTTTGGCATACCCCTCGCACGCTTCGCGGCCTCACAGGGAGCTCCACCGACTGCGGTGCACAGCGGCTGTACCCACCACCCAGTAGGAGGAGGAGGAGGAGGAGGAGGAGGAGGAGGAGGAGGAGGAGGAGGAGGAGGAGGAGGTGGAGGTGGAGGAGGAGGAGGAGGAGGAGGAGGAGGAGGAGGCGGACGCTTCGCCAGGCTAATCTTCTCCGGGGCCCGCCCCGCGCCTGGCGCGCCATGAAGCGCTCCAGCTCCGCCTCCCGGCTCGAGGACCGCGCCGAGCCCTCGCCCGGCTCCGCGCCGCGCGCCGCGGCGCCTGCGCGCACCGCGCGAGGTACAGTCGGGGAGTTGACCAAAGGAATCCTAAACAAGGAACGAGGCCCCTATTTTTCTTAAGTTGAACTTCGATTTCGTATCGGAAACATAAGGAACACCTGAGGCAAGCTGCGACACACTTAAGGAACGCGGAGCACCTCCCCAACGAACAGGGTTCCTTCACCAGGGCCCCGACAGTAAGGCGGCCGGGCGGAGCCGCTCTCCGAGACGACGACGGCGGCTGACGACAGCGACGACGGCTGCACCGACGGCGGCGGACGTCGACGGCGGCGGCTCCGACTGCACTGACGGCGGCGGCGGCGGCGGCGAGAAACGAAGATGACGACAACGACGACGACGGCACTGACGACTCACGACGCACGACGCACGACGCCGACGACAGCTCGGACCGCACTGACGACGACCGTCGGCGATGACGACGAACGACGATGACGACAACTCACGATGCGCGACGACGACGATGACGACGGCTCCGACCGCACTGACGACGGCGGCGGCGGCGACCACGACGATGGACGACGACGACGACGGACAACGACGTCGAAGACACCGACGACGACGACGACGACGACGACGACGACGACGACGACGACGACGACGACGACGACATCGACGACGACGACGGCGGCGACGGCGGCGACGACGACGACGACAACGAGGGACGACTACGGCGACTGGGGCGGTGGCGACGACGGCGGCGGCGGCGCCCACGCTCCACCATCCCCCGCCGAGGGGCCCAGGGAGATCAGAAAGCCGGCGCGGGCTTGCTTTTCCTTGTCCCGCTGTCGCTTCTCGATGGCGAGGGGGAACGTCCGGCGGGGACCAGCTCGTGGGGGCAGGGGGCCACATGCGAACCCTACCCCTACCCCCCACGATGTCTGAGGGGGAGGGCGGGGTTCACTTCGCCCAGGAGCTCCCGAACCAAGTGAACCCCGCCCTCCCCCTCAGACATCGTGGGGGGTAGGGGTAGGGTTCGCATGTGGCCCCCTAGGGGGGACAAACATCGACACGGAATCGGCGATGCATGACCGATGGGTCGGCGACAGGCCCTCCATGCCGTGGCCTCGGGGTCCGCGCGGGGGGCCGTCGGGGGTTCGGGGCGGCGGCCGAGAGGCCGTGGGGGGCAGGCGTGGCGACCGTCGGGGGGCGGACGAGAGAGTCAACGAGTCGACCGCATGCTGGGGGGCACAGGGTGATGGGCCCTCCCCCTGGGAGCGCCCGGGCTGGGCACTCACGGCGATCCCATGCCGTGGCGACGCGGGGACGGCGGCGGCGGCGGCTGCCTTCTGCCCTCCTGGGGCGTTGAGGAACGGCAGACGGCATGGGCTTCGAAGGTTTCAGGAATGCTATCATACGTCATCAGGGCTTCTCGCTCGTTCTGATTCTGTACTCTAGATACTGTTCAGTGAGACCCGACGGTTCCAATATTT